ATATATATATATATATATATACTCAACAAAACAAATGAATTATATCGACGTATATCAAGAAGAAGCATCGTGTTTTGTCACATCGGACAGATAAATTCCAACAAATTCTTAGTAACGTTGCATCTAAACTCATACGCGATATCAATCCGTGACCCGATAACGATGCAATTCTGCGTGTCAGCGGCGGAGCGATACGTTGTTTTCGATACGTGAGCGATTTCGACATCGAACGTGCCACTGGAGCCGCGGGAATACGTTTAAAAACCAGCTTCACAACCGTGATCGGCACAGTTCCACCGAATATCCAACGATCAAAATCCGGGAAGATGCATCTGAAGAAGATCGTCGCGTTCATTATTTTGGGACTAGTGGCGGCCCACCATCTCGAAGCTGTCCCAACGTCCAAGATCGAGGAGCAGAGGTTGGAGGAGGAGATTCTGAAAGCGGACAATTCTGAAATCTTCGACAACGAAAGATCGAAGAAATCGATCCTTGTTTTCAACAACCAACTTCCCTTAACCAGCCAGACCTACAATCTACCCTTGCAATCATCCTCGCAACCGAACGCTCAGATTCTCAACGTCCAATCGGGTTCTCGAACCGTCGAAACTGTCCAACCTGTTCAAACTATCGTCCAACCGCTTGTCAATGTCCAATCGGTGCCACAAACCGTGGAAACGGTGAGCATCCAATCCAACAGTCAACCGGCTCAGCTTCTCAACGTCCAATCGGTTCCCCGTGTCGTCGAAACTGTCCAACAACCTGTTCAAACTGTCAGCGTCCAATCGGTGCCGCAGACTGTTGAAACTGTCAACGTGTTGCCCAACGGTGAACCGCTGGTCAATATCCAATCAGTGCCCCAAACTCTCAGCCTTCAGTCCAACAATCTTCAGCAACTGGTCAACGTCCAACCGGTGCCTCAAACCGTCGAGACTCTCAACATCCAACAACCTGTTCAAACTGTTCAACCGCTTGTCAGTATCCAATCGATGCCACAAACCGTGGAAACGGTGAGCATCCAATCCAACAGTCAACCTCAGCTTCTCAACATTCAAACGAGTCCACGTGCTGTTGAAACTGTCCAACCTGTTCAAACTATCGTCCAACCGTTCGTCAATGTCCAATCGGTGCCACAAACCGTGGAAACGGTGAGCATCCAATCCAACAGTCAACCTCAGCTTCTCAATATCCAATCTGGTCTCCATGCCGTCGAAACTGTGAGCGTCCAACAACCTGTTCAAACTGTGAGCGTCCAACAACCTGTTCAAACGCTCAATATCCAATCGGTGCCGCAGACTGTTGAAACTGTCAACGTGTTGCCCAACGGTGAACCGCTGGTCAATATCCAATCAGTGCCCCAAACTCTCAGCCTTCAGTCCAACAGTCTTCAGCAACTAGTCAACGTCCAACCGGTACCTCAAACCATCGAGACTCTCAATGTCCACCAACCTGTTCAAACTGTTAACGTTCTGCCCAACGTTCAACCGCTGGTCAATATCCAATCGGTTCCAGCAACCGTGGAAACGGTGAGCATCCAATCCAACGGTCAACCTCAGCTTCTCAACGTCCAACCGGTGCCCCAGACCGTCGAGACTCTCAACGTCCACCAACCTGTTCAAACCGTCAACGTGTTGCCCAACGGTGAACCGCTGGCCAATATCCAATCGTTGCCCCAAACTCTGAGCCTTCAGTCCAACAGTCTTCAGCAACTGGTCAACGTCCAACCGGTGCCTCAGACAGTCGAGACTCTCAACGTGCAACAACCTCTTCAAACTTTGAATCTGCAAGCGGGCGGACAACCGGTGGTTCAAACTCTGAGCTCCACCGTGATTGCTCAGCCACCACCCCTGCCTCTGCCCG